CAGATACGTTAATGAAAATTAAACGAGAAAGTAGCTAAAGGAATAGCCTTTCGAACGCATCTATAAAAGTGCATAAATTATTTATGAAAAGCAATAAAATTAATGAAAAACCAGAAGAGTGTGCGGTATCGCTACCGACACTCTGCACAATAATTGTTAATAGTTAATTATCGAAAGAAGCTAGGACCTTCAAACCTATATGAGAAAATTGCTGAAGGTTCACACTTCATTCTTCAATTCTAAAAGATCACAAAATCAACCTAATTATTGAGTTATTAACGATTTTTCATCGATCAACTTAATCTGGGGCCTGATAGGTGGAGCTCGGCGGCCCGCTGGCCAATAGGAAGCGTTCTCTCTCTGTCCTTGTCGCACACTAGTGCTATCCTTGTCTAATACCTCTGTTTATATTCTGTTATCCTATTAAGAAATCGTAGTTCTCGTCACCTGACGCTAGATGGTGTTAGTCTTTCCCGCCAATTTTTCTGTCCTTGTCTATCCCTATATCTTTCCTTGTCTAACTCATTTCTGTTGTGCTATCCTTATCTACCGCTATTCGTTTCCTTATCTCTCTTCACTATTGTTATCGTGGTAATCGCTATTATATTTAATTGATACTTAGAATTAACTTTTTAGTAATAGAAAGGTAAATAAACAGTAAAATACTGGTATATTGTAACCTTCTGTAAAATACATTTTGTGCAATACTTTTACAATAAATAATTTATTTGTTTATAAATAATTGCATTGCTTCATTTTTCCTGGTGTTTAAGTCCTATCCTTGATTCCTACGGTGTCCTGGAAAGTCCATCTATAATTCATACGAAAAAGAAAATTAATTTTCCTAATTTTTGATCAAAGTTATAAACAATTTCTGACTAATCTATTTTAAATACAATGGTTAAATCGATGCAAAATTTATATATAAAACTGTAAAACAATTTTATTTAAGACTTTCAATAATCATAAACAACCATCTAAATTGTTATTTGACAGGAAACGAATTATCCTGCAATTAAAGTATTTGAAAATAAACCAGAAACTTTATTTTACTATGTACGTATTAGTGATGTCGAAGGAATAAAAAAATTGATTATGATATGAATTTTGATCTGCTTAGTACGTGCAATTATACTCTAATTCTAATTTTTCTAATAAATATTATTGGTAACGAGAAATTCAAAGAATTGTCATTGCACTGTAACGAAAAATACGCGAACATAATTTTTCATTGGTGGATGATTCATCCCATGCTACACACGCTTTATCAAAGAAGGATCCTTTAGGTCTGTCGATTTTACCATCTTCGATGGTGGAATGTATATAATACCTAATAGCAAAATCTTCTGCAACGATCGAGCAATCGAAATTTCTAAACTATCCTGCGAGTCAACCATTTCTCAGACGCTCGTAATTTGTTGAAATGAGCCAGTAGTGTTGTTAGACATGCGAAAATTGTGAAAGTCCGATATTCGAAACGGGAAAGCAGCTTCATGTTTTATTTGCAAGTGGTTTGATCGAAGAATAATCGGTGTTTCTCGTTAAATAGCAATTTAGACTTGTTTGAATTCTAAATGGAGGTAAATCTACGCGTGCTCGTGCTTGAAATCTTTTATTGAAAAAGTGAGACGAAACACAATATCGCAGTAAGGCCTTAGACAAAGGAATCCGGGAGGAACCGAAGGAAGGCTCGAGTGTTTCTTCGTCTTGAAAGGACTCGCGTTGGCGCGATTGGCGTATTTTACGCACAACGTCCATTTCCATTTGCGAAACACTCGTTCGTTGCAAAATGAAATAAACTAAATACCGATATCGTTGGGTACGCTACCCTTTGGACATCACGCTTTCTCGAGCAAATCTAAAATACAGGCAGAGTATCGACAGGAGGGACTGTACAAACTTGGTTAGAGGTTACTTCGTAAATTTACAAGAGGAATCATTTTTTCTTTGTTTTCTCTTTGCTATCCTCCCAGGATGGTGCAAACTCATCTGGCGAGTTAACGAGAGGATCAAAGGATATTTCGTTTGACTGGAACGTGACCGGCTTTGAGAGGTGAGAAGATGATTCCACCTCTGAAATTTACGATAGTACACGGGCCGAATTAGCGTTATGAAGCATGCAAAGAAAGGGCAGCTTTCCCGAGAGATCGAAGAAGGGTGTGGAAGCCAAAGAGGGTGAAAGATAATAAGGAGTAATCGAAAGCAGTAGGAAACTCTGATTGCGAGCGATTTGGCTGTCTACTCGAAAACACTTTCCGAGAAAGGCGAGCGAGCGAGTTGAAAGTTCCCTGGTAAACTCGTCGGAGATTTGCCCGTGGCGGGTAAACTTTTTAAGGAGATCGTTCGCATCCCCTTTAACTTTCCTCTTTCTCGCACCACGAACCTTTCGTAAATATTTGCATATATCATAGCTGCAAAGACAGAAAAGGAACGTTCCTTCCTGTTGTCGTTTCCACCAGATGAATAACGCGAAGCCGATAAATGTCGACATCGACATCGTTAACGCGGTCGGCGGGTCCCTTTTCAAAAGTTGATTAAAATCGATTAAATAGAAAGAGCAGCGAACAGTGGTGACGATAGATTGAAATGATATACACCTGGAGCATCGTTTCTATCCGAACGAATTTAAAAACGATCGATACGCATCGTGGCCCGGTGCTTTTACACGGCCAGGCGGTGTACCATTGGATCGGAAACGAGGGAAATCGATGTCCCTTGCACGTTGCAACTTATCGGGCCTCGTCGGTCGTTTCGCTCTCGCGTCCTCGAATTATCGCCGCAGCAATTAGAATCGATGTTTGTAATTAGCTAGGGAAACCGATGCACGCTTTAATCTCCCTAGCTTGTCCCTCCAACGGTATCGTTCAAATTTACAGATTACCTTGCTTTTTATTCCCCCTGAAAAATCACCAGGCCTATCGTTATTATTATTAAATCGTATCGCGTTATCGAGGATGGTCAATTAAGCGAGCGTACGCCCGGTTTGTATAAAGGGTGAATCCAGCAGGATCTAATGCTACCGTTTTCGAGGGTAATTTATGACGAGCTATTGTACTTTGAATGGGGCTGCCGTTATTATGGAGGGACAGCAACAAACGGCAAAGACGGAGAGAGGAGGAGATAGAACGCGACGACAAAAAGGGCACCACGCCAAAACCCGGAGGGAAGAGTATAGAATTCTGGACCGAGAGAGAGATTGATAAACACTGTGGATAGGGATAGAGAAAGAAGAATTGCAAATAGCCCCGAGGCGTACTCGTAGCTGGCTGGTTTCTCCTGGTAAGTTGGTAGCGTTGCATATTGTTTCCTATTCAACCGTTTCCCAGCCTCTGGCTTTTTTCCACCTTTTCCATTTTCTCTCGTCCTGCTGCGCATAATCCTTTCGCTTCTCCGATATTTTCACCTAAGGTGAACGGAAACATGCCACCGCGAGATACATCCAATTCCCTCCAGAGCAACGCTCTGATTTCTCTAGCCTGCTCTAGATATTATCAAGATTGTCATGCGTTACGTTACATACGCCACCAACTCCGAGTGGTAAGTTTCTCGTTTCGGCGTTAGCTTATTTCGTTCGGAACGCGATAATCGTAAATACAACGACGCCCGATAGTTTCTCGTTCCTCATAGTCGCGATTCGCCAGGAAATGATTTCTCGTAAATGGCTCGTTTGGTTTGGCCGGTCCGTAAACTGGCCACGCGATTCGAGAAGGGTAAATACGTTTCCATCGCGCCGCCGTCCGTTCGAAATAGCCAACGATTCCCGTTCAAAAACGGAATGCATAAAAAGTAAGATTGCCAGCTTTTTATGCTTTAGTTTGATCGGCCCGCTCGAGGAATTACCGATCGAGCAGTCGAATTTCAAAATCCGTCCAGCGCTCGCTCGGTTGGTATTACGTGTGTACTTCGATTTACGTAACCAGCTATTCCTTCTTTCCCCCTTAAACGAGCATTTCCGTTTCACAGTCGATAAGTAGATCTGTAATATAAAGCAATCATTTTTAATCCCGCTTCTCGACCGTAGCAACCTTTTTTAACGAATTAAACAGAAGGACGATAAAATAGCGGGAAAAAACAATACCGAAGCACAAACGACGGTAGAAAAGCACGACGGTCACTTTCAGTCGAGGATCAGCGGTTCTGTTCCAAGAGTCGACGCTCGTATTTCAAGTATTTAGCGCGACTGACCACCGTCCTTCGGAGAATTATCGCGTTAATCCTGGAATAATATTTTACTGGAAAATCTGGCTGATATTTTCCGTGGCAGTAACGTAAAGTGGATGACGAATGGCGCTGACTGCCAGCACGGTTAATTGTCGGCTTTGTAGTGTACCGTGGTTATTCCGTGCACGCCGCAATTTCCACGCTAGCGATGTCGAGAACGCCGAGCAGAGGGGTTCTTCCTACGTTCGCTTTACTTTACGATTCCGTTACCAACGATCACGAGGCGAAATCTTCTTACATGCGAAACGACGTTTCTCAACTAGAGAAAACTTGCTTATCGATAGACGTACTTTCACGAGAATCGTAATTATATCTTTCTCAAACGTATCCTTCGTCGTTCCACCGTTCATCGTTTTAAAAGAGCCCGGACACGCGGTTTAATTCGCGGCTTCGTTTGCACCGTTTCTTTTTTTTCCTTCCTCATCTGGCATATATACCACCCTTTTCACTCTAATCTGGTCCAAAATTAAGGTTACCTACCTTTTTCTCATTCTATCTTGCGACTATAGTTCCTACCCTTCCTTTCTTCGATCTGACCACTCAAATGTAAAACACGGAAGAAAACAAAACGTGTATTTTTTTGTAAATTGCCTACTTTCTTTTTTAACGTAAATGCAATAGGAACAAACCTTGGCACAGTTAACGTGCTTTAGCGATATCCGAGACGGTGCTAATTTTTTTTTTTTTACGACTATTAACAATACCCCCGGTACCCTTGTCGAAAGAAAAAGATGCTGCCACCTGTCGGAAATTCCTTAAACGATGTGTTTGCACGTAGAAAGTGCATTCCTTTATACAGGGAATCCTTTAGACACAACAGTGGAAAAAAGTTTTCAGAATAACTTTTTATGATTCAGAGATACTTAAGAGGCTTTCACATGGCTTTCTACGATAATGAACATTGGCTGTTATCGCACATCAGGGATAGTTTTTTATCAACCGACAACACAGGTATATGGTAAATCCTATATAGGTTAAATATCGAAAACTTTTCTTCGGTATATCGTTGATAAATTCTAAACGTAAAAGAACTCGTTTTGTTTGATATTTCTCCAAGGTCAGTGCGAAATGGTAATGCTTGGGGAAGATATTCCTAAACAACTGAAATCGAATGGTACGTTACAATGTTACCCTGGAATGGAAGAAAGCGATGACGAAGATCTAGATGCTCTCGCAGAATCTTACGACATACAAATGGGTAATTTTCTTTCTAGTCTTTTCAACCAAACCTTCCTTTCCTTTTTTTCTTTTGAGAAAAAATTCATATTACACTTTGCAATTATTAAGAAAATAAGAATCGGAAAGTCGTTCGGAACCGAGTGTTAGATGTGTGATTTTGACGTTGATATAGATATAGAATACAGTCATAGAGAACGTTCTAACACTGCTCAAAGGTTAGAGAAAATGGACCTTAAAAGAGAAAAAGCTGCTAAAATCAGTATAAAGTGGAAAAATGATCCTGTTCTACCTATTACTCAGCAATCTGAATTGTTTCAAAGAAAAGATTTTCGTAGAAAGACTGGCCCTGCTAAAAGATACTCTCTCTTATCGGAACAACTTGAAAAGTGTCCAAATCTGCCACAAAATCCATTCATAGAGTATGCTAAGTTCGATGGTAGTGTATGTATCTGTATATTTGCTCAATTTTTACCACAACTGTTTGTCCATAGTACCATTTATGTGAATTCTATTGCAGGCACAAATAGATATTCCTATAAGAAAATACAGGATATTTATGTGTATGTTACCTAAAATACAAAGAATGTACCCCCTTCAAGTAGTTGTACTTGCTACAGCTAAAGTATTAGAATTCATTGGATTAATTTGCTACAAATATGCAAACGAACATCCAGATCATCCTTTAAAGTCTGAATTTTTTATAATTTATAATTAATATTTAGCCAGTCTTGTTAACAAGGAACATATTGGTACTTTAATGTTTTCAGGGATGATATTGCAAGATATGGTTTATATTTCACAGAAGATGATGGAGAAGTTGATTGGGATTTACCCTGCCTAGAACCAAGAGAAATAATATCCAAGTATGAATTTACAACGTTAGGTCTTGCAGAAATGAAACCGAGTGATAAAGCGCAACACAATGTTATTAGTTGGTTAGAATTATCCGACGAGGAAGATTTTCTAGAAGGTCAAAACGAAAAACAGGAAAAAGTTGCTGAAGATTTGGCAAAAATGGAAGGGCATACAACTGCCATGGAAGCACCGTTGTACCAATCGTATAGGTATATTTTTACTAATTTCGTACTAATTACATTTATCCAATCATTTGTAACATCTGTTAAATATGTAACATCCTATACAGGGTATACATAATTAACAAAGTCAGGACAAAGACTGAAATTTATCTAGGAATATCAGGTGAAAAAATTGAAATCAACCCAATAGTAACAGGAAAAGGTGCAGGACGTTTTTGGAATAGACAAAGAGCTGTTAGTTATCAAATAGATAATATTGCTTGGTGCGAAGTTACGGAAACGAAGGGATCAAAAACAATGTTTACATTAGTTTATACACCACATTCTTCTACTTCTGAAAACATATTAGGTTAGTCTCTAGTTTCTTCCTTTCACTTAATACATAGAAATTGTTCGATAGTTTCAAAAATATCCTTCTTTCACAGTACCATCCGGACAAATGCACTCTTTGCATCAATCCGCATCGTTTAAAAATCACGAATTTGAAGCTGATTCGATAACAGCTGACGAAATCGTTAGAAAAATAAATCATATATTAGAATTGCATAGTAGTACGTCGAGAAAAGAATATTTGTCTCAAAAAGAAAGAAAAGCAGCAAGACGAAAAAGTTTTCACTTGCATAGATGACAGCTTTATTGGTTCCTATATTCTATTTTAAATTATTTGAAACATTAATTGTATCCATGTGATAAAAATTGTAACAAATGTTTGCTTTCACGTCGTAAATTTCTTATACCCAAGAAAAA